TGCAGGTTGGTGGGTTAAACCGAGACCCGGAGCAGAGGTCAGGGAGTGGATTTGGGAGTGTTTGCTCAAGGTAGCTCCAAGAGTTCACGATGGATAACTGGGTCTTTGGGAGCTTCCTTCTTACGTGAGCAAGGGCAGAGGGGAAAAGCTCCAGCCGGGATGCGAGCGGAGGGGACGGACGGGTTGGGACACCTCGTGGACCTGACACATTTGTTCCACGTCCTCTCCTGCTGCTGTCTCTTTGGTACCAAGAATAAGCACGAAAGCCCCGTCAATAAAGAGCCTGAACGGCTCCTGTGCGAGCACAGGGACAGCCCCGCTCTGCGGGACGGGGGACTGGTCCCCGGGCGGTCGCAGGAGGAGGGAGGGGCTGAAGGGGCCAAGACCTCCACCGACGCGGCAGAGTTTCACCCTGCGCTCACGCATTAAGCTCTTCATTAAACCCGCGCCGCCTCCGCCCTAAGGGCCTCTCGGATAAACTCTGGCCGTATCGGTATTTCTCAGCGTAGCCCCGCGCAACCCAGCTCCGATAAGCAGAGCCCAACCCAGCTGGCAGGTAATTTTGGTTTCATTTAGCGTTTTTTCCCCTCCTGGACTTTGACTCACGGGTAGGTGCGCGGTGCAGCTACCCCGGCACAACCCACGCTCGGCACTCACCGCGTCCCGGCACGCCTGACGGGCTGCTCGTGCTGCTGCCTCTCTCCCTTGAGGGACCAGGGCTGTTCCTTCCCCGCTACATTCACTCCACCTGTGGGATAAAATAGGTTTGAGACCTTTACAGCGCGCTCAAATCAGGGTGGAAGCGGACAAGGGGTTCAAAGAGCTCTTGGAGCACCATTCAGTAGCCCTTGTTTCTTGGGGAAATCACCCTAAGGCCACGCAGCAGAGCGGTGCGCTCATCTCCTCGTAGGAAGACCCGGAGGAGCACTCAATCCCACAACCCCACGTGCACGCGAATGGAGAATTTTCATTTGAGTCCCCTACTTCCACCCTTTTTCCCCTCCCTCAAGCTCTCAGCAACCCCGTCAACAGGAAAACAAGTGGCCCTCCCTTTTCCCTCGCCCGTCCTCGGCGCTCACTGCCAGGCAGCTGGTGCCCGGCCCAGCTGGAGGAGAGGGCAGGAGGGTGGATTCCCTCCTTTTAGGGAAAAAGTGGGGGAAAGGAGAGCGTTTCTTCCATTTACTGCAGGAAGCAGCAGTAAGCGCTACCCAGAAGCGCCTTCATCATCTGCTGGTGCTCGTGGCACCGTCTCGTCCCCTTTCCGCGGCTGGGCGGGCGGCAGCGTCCCACGCAGGCTGCTCTCGCCGCAGGGAACCAGAGCGGCACCACCGGGTGCCCTCTTTCCCAGTCTCTCCCAGTCTCTGCTGCTCAGAGACGGGCTGTGCTGGGATGCGGGCTGCATCCTCCTCGGAGCCTCCCTGCGGGTGAAAGAAGAAATACAACAGGAGAGATCCACAACGGAGCTCTGTTAAAAGCAGTTTAGACTCTATCTTAAGGTCAGGTTCTAACTAACCCAGCTCGCTACCACGCGCCCGAGGGACCGAGACGGGCAAGAGGAACAGGGTTGTCGCTACAGGTGATCGTCAAGCAGACTGGAAATGTTTCAGATCCGCTCTCGGCTGAAACCTGTCTCGGCTCCTTCCGCCCACAGGGTTGGTCTCAACGCGAACCGCTCAGCTCAAAGAGCGCTGGTTTTGTTAAAACCTTTTTTTTTTTTTTTTTCTTTTTCTTTTTGCACAAAGAGGAACTAACCTGCACCGTTGTTGCCAGGTTTCAAAGGAGACCATGAAAAGAACACGCACAAAAAAAAAAAAAAAAAGAGGTGAAACCTCCTTATTTATTTTTCTTAAATCCATTTATTGACTTCACCACACAGGAAAAAAAAAAGTACCAAGAAATATAAAAATTCTGATCCTTCAAAGCAAGTTGCATTTCACTGCAGCAGAAAACAAACCATTTGCTGATTCAAACCGGCAGGGCAGCTGGCCTGAAAGCGGTAACATTTGGCAAAAATCCTACATACCGACAGATACCGTCCATTCAAAACGTGTTGCGTCCAAAGGGAAAAGGTTACGTGCACCTTGACCCGTTTGAATCACATTGCATAAATTTAAATACCATAAAGATCAACAAACCGGGAGTCATTCCCAGAGGTCGCACGCGGCTCGGACAATTACGGCGACCGTTGCCAGAAACACGCCAGCCTCGGGAACTGCTGGGCAGGAGGAGATTGAGGGGGAGTCCCCCGATTTCGCTCTGCCTCTCCCCAAACCCTGCGCTTCCCAGGCACCGGGCATTTCTGTTTTGCCGGAGCCACGCTGGGGACCGAGCAAAGCAACGGCGTCCAGCGAGATGTGAGGTACGTCCTCGTTAGCCTGACGAAGGAGCTGGTGCTGGGTCCAGCCCGACACTCGCGACGGTGGAGGTACGAGGGTCCCGCTCTCCGCAGACCTCCCTCGCTTCGGCCGGCTGTGCGCAGCCAACTGCTGGCAACGGGGGCGGCACTCCCAACACGACGCGGAACGACAGAGGACCGAGAGGCATTTGAGAAAGCTCGCGGGATAGAAAAGCAAGCAGACGGTGAAAAAACACCCTTGTAAATTACCCTTCAATTTCAAAACCGAACAGGACAAAGCAGGAAAACAGCGCGCGCAGGAGCAGCTCGGAAGCACATGGCATTTCACATCTTGGAATATGCTTTTTTTTCCCCCGCCATCAGAAGACAAAAGCCACCCCCTCCCACCCCGCATCCTGTCCATAAATCAGCCGCACAACAGCGAGCCGCAGACGTATCCTACGGGATCTCTGAAACAGCGGAGTCTTGTTGCAGGAGCTCCCACCCTTTCCAGAAGGCACATTTCCCCACGGGTTATGTTCCCAGACTTGTTTTCCTTTCTCTTCCCTCCACCTCACACTCCTGTTCTCCAAAATAGCTTCTGCAAGTACTTGTAGCATCAGAAAAGCTTATAGGGAAACCTTGAAAGCTGTTTAAAGCCAAGAGGGACTTTCTCCTGCTCTTTGTGCTTGCTAAAGCCAGCAAAAAAAAAAAAAGAAAAAAGAGGCTTCTTCTTTTAAGAGAGGGTCAAGCCCCTTCTCCCCTCTTACGTGGGGAATGAACCACTAGAGGAAAAAAAAAAAAATACAGCTGTATCGTTCGTGTCCAGACAAGGAAACGCCTTTGCCCTTGTCAAACGCGACTATCTTTAGCAACCACAGGGCAGATTACCAATTGTTCGCAGCCTCGGGAAGGCCGGCAAAAGGCCGGCCTCATCCCCCAAGTCGCTTTTGCAGCCAGCTGGCGGGAAGTCACCCCGACGGGGATTCTTCCTGCGCAGTCAGTCAGCAAGCGCGCGGCGAGGGTGACTCACATACGGCCGGCGCGAGCTTCGGGCGCGGATGGGCACCCGTGTGAAGAGCTCTAAATGCCTCATACCAATTTTGTTCTGCCCATATCACAAAAAACAAAAGCACGAGCCGGGCAGGCACTTCACACCTTCTTCAGAAACGTACTGTCTCAAACAAACATCTTTGGAGTAGAACTACAAAAATAAAAACCACCTCACAGCTGTAACTCGTGACTCAATGTGTTTTGCAGCCTTAAATATAAGCAGTACGTCCCAGGCCCTAGCTGAAGCGCTCCACAGCACGCCGAAGCGAGCAGCTCAGCGACGAGCAGCCGGTTATGTGTACATTCACGCACCCAGAACTCCTCAAAGCCGGGGCCGGCAGAGCCGCGGGGAGCGGGAAGAGGTGCCGGCTGTGCCACAAGCCCTTTCACATGTCGGTCACCTGCTCAGGAGGTGACCTTGGGGAGAAGACGCCCCGTGGTGACTCACAGGCAGAAGAGACGGCGCCCGCGCCGCCAGCTACAACGGTTTCCCAAGGCGAGAGGCGCTGGGCAGGCGCGGCGCCGCCAAGGCTCGTGCCACCCGGGGGGCGAGCAGCCACCTCGCCTCTCGACCGGGCGAGAAAGCGGCGCTTCTTCAGCAAGAGCCGTGGCTGAGCGCTCGGCCGCAGCGAGCTCTGCGGCCGACGGAGGCTCGTTCAGTGGAGCTGAAAGCTCCAGGGCCTCAGTACTGCATTTTGAGGAAGAGGTTTGAATGACCGCAAGTTTCATTCATCCCAAACGCTTCGGGATTACCGTACATTTTTACGTTACCACCTAACTACATTTGACAAGGGGTAGGAAAGGAATCTGCCAAGGCAAAGTCTGCTACAACTACACCGCGGCAATTTGGCACGAAGCTTTCTAAGCCTAGCCTGCCCTCCTTCACAGCATCGAACTGCAACCTTTAGTGCAAACACCTGAACTCTGGGGACTGGGAGGGAAAAGACCCGCGCGGAGCATAGGATGCAGGGGAGGAAGTTTAAGCTACAACCCGAGGGCCAGAGACTGCTCTAGCGGTTCCAAAGATGTGCATGGAAGAGAGAGTCTAGATGATAAACTCTAACGTTGTCTTCATCACAGAGAGAGAAAATAACCAAATCAAATCAGAGTCCTCGGCGGATCGTTTCCAAACTAGTGCAATCAGTCACGCTGCGAACTTTAGCATCCAAATACAATGGACAGAAGAGGAGAGCGTCTGTGTCTCAAGCAAGACTGTGCTGGTTACAAAGGCAGCTCTATGACTCTGGAAGGGGAAGAGTCAGATGGCTCATTTCGCAGGCGGGTTTCCCCCCGACACAAAAGTTCTGTCAAGTGCGGGGGACCGGCTTGTCCCGGGTCACAGGCCAGAAGCCAGACGCCCAAGCAAGAAAATGAGTTCATCTTCAGGCAGCCGGGAAAGGAGAAACGCGTTTCGAGGCAGTGAGAGGTTCGACATTACCAAGGTGCAGGTGCAAACCGAAAAGCATTTCCCCTTCTTTCTGTTGTCTGAAATCTGAACGCGGCAGCACAGCTACAACTCAGAGCGCTACAGCAGGGGAGTCGGTGGGTGTCCCAGTGTTACTGCGTTTCCATCGCCAGCCGTCGTTATTCCACTGAACATCCGGGGAGGAACCTAGATCTGGGAAGGCAAAAAGAAAGGCTGAAACAATTTGAAAGCTCAGTATCGCTTTTCTACTCTGACAAAGCATCAGGGTCTGAGCGGGCTGAGTGTCTCTCATGAGCTTTCAAATAAAACCCAAGCTCTTTGTAACTGCCTGCCTGCTTTACTGCGCCTCAGGGGCAAGTCAGGAAATTCTGGGCAAAGGAAACAAATTCCCAAAATATTGGAGGCTAAATGGGGAGGCTCAAGCAGGCAAATCAACTCAGGCGGCTTCCCCAGCCAGGCACGGCTGCGATTCGGGAAGGGAGAGAACTGAGCTTCCACCCCCACCGCTGCGCTGCACCGCTGCAGAGCTGACAGCAAGCCGAGGACGACGCGGCCTTGAGGTTTATATGCAAAACCCCTAACGGCGTTTGGAAACGGCCATCGTTGCGGTTCCCCGAATGCTGACAGCCTTCTGAAAGGCAAAGTTTCAGCTTAACTTTCTCAACTTTTAAAAATTTTCTGTCCTCGTCTCCTTCTCTTCCCATTGCAGAAAACAACTACAGACACATCTGACTTCAAGGACAACGGGTGAAAAAAGTTTCAAGGGGAAGAAGAAAGGGAATTCTCCCCGAATCCTACCCTTCCCCTGCTACAAACTTCTTTGAAAAAGTCATTTGAGTCAGCAACAAACTATTCTTAAGCACACTTGAGCTCGAGACTCACACACTTCTGCTCTGCGTTAGCCCCCTCTCCCACCATCTCTCAGCATTATTGCTTCCATTTTCTGGCAAACCTCTGTTTCCAGACCAAGAGTGGGGTTTTTGCTAAAAAATTTGCTTTCCAACACCAACCAAGTAGGGGCTTTGTGACCGTCTCTAACGCGAAAGGCCAACAGATCGCATTTGCGGCATACACCAAGCACTGCAACCTTCTCCCCGCTCCCGTTTCGGGTAGATCTTACCTTTTGATCCAGTCTCTGATAATCGCCAGATTTGGGCCGTCGACCACTTTTCGATCTTTTCCCTTCCAGAGCAAAAGCAATGATCTTTGGAGAGAGAAGTGGGGACACGGTGAGTGGGACAGCAGCGACCAAATATGCTTTTTCTCACTTGGAACGCAAGCGCTTTCTAACGGGCCAAAGCCCAGCTTCGCTCACCTCCTTTTACTGACCGTATTTCGTTTGAAAAAGCACTTGAAACAAACAAACGCCAATATCTAAACCCAGCTAAGATTGAAAGCAGGTGATAATGAGGTTTGCCTAATAGGCAGACAACAGTAAGAATTTGTTTTCTTTCTCCTACCTCAAAAACAGCTTTACAGGAGGAAAAAACAACCCAGCAAAAGCCAGTTACATCATGTGAGCTGCATCCCCCCCGCAAGACTGTTTAAGGACAAGTCTTCTGCAACCTGCTATAGAAAACTCATTGTCAGCGAGAAAACGCAGGGTAACTTCATACATCTTTGCCTTTTCACCTCCTTCAGCTGAAAACAACCACCAGAGCCGAGGCCACCCAGCTTCCATGGAGATTCACCCCCTTTCCTGGTTACAACACCCCTCTGCTCCTCCCAAAGCTGCCGGGGACCACGGCTCAAGCTAAGGCTAACCAAACCCGTGCCGCGCAGCAAGCGGGGGGTATCGGAGAGAAGCAAACGTCAGGGCGAGGGGAGAGGCCTTCCACCGAGCAGGTCCCAACCTGCAGCGGTGACCAGCAAGAGGAAAGGAGGCTCCGACAGCGCAGGGGAGATGTCGAGAGCCCAGGTAAGGAGCACAGCCACTCACCTTGCGTTTGTTGTGATATGCTACGTATAAGGCAGCAACGATGATGGCCGTGGTCACCAGATAGGCGAAGAAGTGGCTGCTCTCCGACTGGCCCCTGGGGGGAGAAGGAATGCTCTTCTCTCTCTCCTTATTGAAGGAGGAGGCATCGTTGCCTTCTTCAGCCCCATCTTCTTCCTCTCCAGGGCTTTCTCCATCGCCTAAACCGCTGTCGCCCTCAGCAGTGGAGGCAGTGGAGGAAGTTAATTGTGGTGATACGTTTTGATTTGTGGGTGAGCTCATTTGATTGCCCTGGCTGTTGGACCGGTTATCGCCGTTACTGCCCTGGTTCTCTGTGTTCCTGTCCTGGTTCTCGGTGTTGCTGCCCTGGTTTGTGTCTTTGCTGCCCACGTTGTTGCCCTGGTCCTGGCTGTTGTTGCTGTCCTGGTTCTTCTTACCCTGGTCCACGTTGTTGCTGTCCCCGTTGTCACCCACCATGGTTCTTGTCCTTGCTGTCCCCGTTGTTGCCGTCCCCGCCGTTGCCCTGGTTCTTGCCGCTGCTGCCCTCACCGTTGGTCTGGGTCTTGCTGCTGCTGGCGCCGTTGCTGCCCTGGTCCGTGCTGCTGCTGGTGCCGTTGCTGCCCTGGTCCGTGCTGCTGCTGTCCTGGTTGTTGCTCTGGGTCCCGTTGTTGCCATCCTCGTTGCCATCCTTGTTCTTGTTGTTGCTCTCCTGGTTGTCTCTCTGGTTCTGGCTGTTGTTGCCCTGGGTCTCGTTGTTGCCCTGGGTACCAGGGCTGCTGCCGCCCTGCTCACTGGCACCGCCGCCGCCGCCCTGGTCACCGGCACTGCCATTGCCGTTGCTGTTTTGGTAACTCGTGTTGCTGCCTTGGCCGCCACCACTCTGGCCGCTGGTCTGCTGCTCGCCGCTGGTGCCTTGGTGAGACACGTCCGTGCCCTCCTTTTCCTTGTCCTTTTTTTCCTTGTCCTTGTCCTTGTCCTCTTCCCTCATTCCTCCGTTATTCGTGCCCGATTTGGGACCGCTGCCGTTGGGTGGATTGGATTCAGAGGGCTGCTCTCCGGTGGATTTGCGCTCTCGGCTCCGGGTTTCCTGCCCATCGGGTGCTCCCGGCCGGGCGGCTCCCCCAGCGCCTGCTGAGGGGCTGCTGGTCCCCGCTGCCTCTGCGGTCCCCCGCCGCCCTGGGCCCCGGCGCGGGAGCTGCCAGCAGAGAGAGGCCGCGGTCACCGCCTGCCCCCGCCCCCGCTGCGAGCAGCGTGCCCGGCTGCCGGAGACACGGCGGGGCCCCGCCCCCCCGGGGGCGGGGACCCCCCCCCGGGCGGC